TTTTTTGCCATATCATTATTTTTGTTCATATCAACCATGTTATCTTTCCACGTGTGTTTAATACTTTGACAAGTCATTATATTATTGTTAATTAACATGACACATCACATGATTTTTAACGAAAGGATCAAGTTAGAGTAAAATTGGCAAACAGTAAGGACCAAATCAGGTATTTTTTTCAATTTAGGGACCAAATCAGGGATCTGTACAATAGTTGAGGGACCAAAAATGGGGTTTAACCAAAATAAAAATATTTGTACCACAGTTAGCATTTTTCAAAAGTTTCCCCCCGGCCGGTCCTATGCTAGCTCCGTCTGCGACCATTGCCATTCTGCATCAATCCCATCCTCATGGAGAAGGAATATGGAACAAGGGCCATATATAAATCTTGCTTTTCTGGGTTTTCCACACATAGTTCTTTCCCTTTCCATCAAGGAATTAATTCTGCTAGTGACTTGAAGTAAGCTTCACTTCAATATAGATCCCATTTTAATTTGTTATTGACATAATTCAAATAGTTGTCAAAAAGAAAATATATTTTAATTACATAAAGAATAAATTAAATTTTATCTTAAAATTATTTTAATTTGCCTTACTTTCTATGTTTCAGGACTCAATCGTGAAAATGAATGAAGTTTGGGTTGAAATTTTGAAGGAAAATGGCAAAATCAAACTTATGTGAAGAAATTTGCAAGACAAGGAATCAAATAGGGAAGAGCATTGGATACGGGTATGGCTGTTACTTTTAAGTACTTTATTTATCTAGGTAAGTATCTTACTTGAATTACAAAAAATTAGGTAAATAATGAATATTAAAAAGATATATTAGTAAGCATTAAGTCAAGTGACAAGTATAAGAGTTTATAATTGTTTACTCAATTTGTTAACCATTTTATTTAACTAATATATTACCTATACTTATGTAATTGAAATTTTATATATACTTATTATATTTAATATCTATATAATAACAATAATTTTTTAAAATTAAAATATAAAATACAAAAATAAAAATAAAAGCAATCATATGCATACCTATAAATAACAAACCCTAAACCCAACACATATATATCACACATGTAGTCAACAGCTTTTTTTCCTTCCTTGCACTCTTAGACAATGGTGAGTACTTATAATTTTAAATTTTGATTCTTTTTAGCTTTCTTTTTACTTTTCTATATATTAGTGACTTTCAAGTCATAGTCATTGTTTATTGTATAGATGACTTTTTAGCATCAAATTCCAAATTTAATATGATAAGAATTATAAATTATAGATATAAATATCAAGATGTTAAAATAGATATAATAAAATTAGTTACTATCCCTTTCCAAATTTAATATGATAAGAATTAGAAATTATAAATATAAATATCAAGATGTTAAAATAGATATAATAAAATTAGTTACTATCCCTTTCTAACAAACTGAAGTAGAGAATTAAGGCGATTATAAGTCCAAAAACCTAGACACCTTGTTTAAAGAACTTTCATTTCGTTGTCTAATTTATTTTTATTCTTTATTTTTGGGTACATATATTTTGCTATTTATTGTTAATTATTTAATTGAGTTTAGTTTTTTTAATAGCATATAGATTTAAGTTCTAGATATGAAACTAAATTTTAGTTCTTTATTGTTATTTTAGATTATATTTAACTTTAGATTATAACAAACAATATTTTATTAAAATTTTACTAGCTTTATTTAAGTTTAAATTGAATGTAAATAATATTTTATTAAATTTTAATTTAAAAAAATTTAAACAAAATATAATTCAATAAATACATAAGCATATACTTGAAATTATCTAGTACTTATTAGGTTAAGTAC